CTCCTTTTACCCCCCATTGATGATGATTTTCTCTTGTTTGATTATTTGTTGAGCCATGCATGAATAATCTGAATTGACCAGATAATGATCATGAGTTTGGAAATTCAAGATCTGTTTTTTTTTAGAATTGAAAATTTTGATCTTTTTGTACCCTTTTGATGTTTGATGTTTTCTGGATTTGGGTTTTGGTTAATGGGAAGATTAAACGATTTTGGGTTAACCCTTTTAATTTTTGTTTCTATGACCACCGACTAAAGATTTGATAAGTTTTTTAAAAAAAAAAAAATGATTTTGAAAATTTTTAAGTTTGATTGGTTCTTCCGTTGTGATGTTTTGTTGATATTTATTTGGATTTGGGGCTAATTTGATTAAATGAGAAAACAGAAGATTTTTTTTTTTACCTTTTTTTTTGGTAGGATCAACCATTAGAGCTGATTTTGTGTTTTTCTCTGTATTTTCTGTTTAGCTGATGAGCTGATTCATTGGGTTTGAATTTTGGTTTTGTTGAATTGGAAGAAGAGACTGTTTTTGGGTTGAGGATTGTCCTATTCTGAAACTGAATTTGGATGCTTTAGCAAATGAGGATTTTGTCCTCTTGCATGATTTTGCTGTAGAAGGGAATAGAGATCTGTTTTAATTTGAGTTTTGTCTTTTTCAGGTGTACTATAAACAAATAGTCATGCAACTTTAGATTAGTTCCTTTTGTTTCATTAGATTTAGTCACTTTTCCTTCTTTATTATCCACCCCTTTAAAAAAGGCCTCTACTTTCCCCTCAAAAATGCAAGTTGTTTCCAACTTATCCAAAACAAAGAAAAAGAACTTTTGATGCTTCTAATCTTTAGTTGTGAAGGTCTTTTTTTCCCTAAGGGTGATCTGAAAACTTATTCAGTACTGGAGGCAAGGGCACTGTATAGAAATTCATAAAAATGTTTATGTCTACACTCCTGTTTCTTTAATTTTCACTTGCTCAGAACATATTAGCTGTCTTCCTGCAATTCTACCTGTAGTTTGTTGCTTAACACTTTCTCCTACTTAGCAATCAGGCTTTATGTTGATGTCCACCTTTCTTGTTTCTTGATGTGCACTATCTATATATCATGTACTATAAGTTCACTCAGTGGTTTGCTTGATCATTAGTTGTGCACATAATTCTTCTTTGACTGATTGGATGTTTTAGAAAGCATTATGTAGGTTTTGAAGTTAAGAGTAGTAATTGATATCTCGTGGCCATAGTCTCTATCATCTCTGAATTTCATTTCATTCCGAGTTAGTTATTGTTGTAATATGTCTGACAAGTATTTATCTGTTTTAGGTACTAGTGAAATATGGGAGGTGGTAAGGATGATTCTGATAAGGGAATCTTTAGCAATATAGCGGGAGGTATGAGTCATCTTGCTGGTGGTCATCACGGACATCCAGGACAGTATCCTCCACAGCACGGTGGTTACCCTCCGCAGCAAGGGTATCCTCCTCAAGGGTACCCTCCTCAACAAGGGTACCCTCCACAGCAAGGGTATCCACCGCAGGGTTATCCTCCGCAAGGAGGATATCCTCCACAACAAGGATATCCTCCACAAGGGTATCCTCCTGCAGGTCATCATGGTGCTCCACAGCATCATTCAGGTATTATTTCTTCCCGAGTTTATTTGAAGCGAGTTGTAAAGACTTCATTTAGTAATTTATAAGCTGTCATCAGCCCCCGGACATCCCAATAAGGTACTGTCTATTTTGGATTTGTCTAGTTAAGTTTCTTTGATAGCAATGGTATCACTTCAACAAGTAGATGCAGGAAAATAATGAACATTTATAATATGTTGCGACTTTTGTGACCAAGTACATCTTGGCAATTTCCTCATTATTAATTTTTCGTGTCTGTTTGCTTGTTACTTTTCAGGACATGGTGGCATGGGGGTAATGTTAGCTGGAGGTGCTGCAGCTGCAGCTGCTGCTTATGGCGCTCATAAGCTGTCTCACGGACACGGTGGATCTCACATGGGAGGACATGGTATGCCATTTGTTGGAGGCGCCAGTCATTATGGAGGAGGCAAGTTTAAGCATGGCAAGGGAGGGAAATTCAAACATGGAAAGCACGGCAAGTTTAAGCATGGCAAGGGAGGGATGTTCGGAGGTAAATTCAAGAAGTGGAAGTAAACTAGGTACAGTATCGAAGACTTCAGCTGGCTTTACAGTGTTCTAATGTTCGTCTCTTTAAATAAGACATACTACATGTTATTATGGCCTATATGTGGCCTGTGAGATATTGTCTTGCTATGCATTTTCAATTACTAATTTGAGTGAGTTTCTGCAGTCGAAAAGCTCCCATAGGGGCATAAACTTTCCTTATTTCTTCCTATCTTCTTCTGTATTCGCGCTCATTCGCTTCGTTTCCTAGCTTTTTTGTACAGTATTGCAGTACTACTAACTCCATGGTTGAAAAAGTTGCAGACTTTTTTTTTCTAGTCTTGTTATCAATTGTTTGTTTCTGTGTGAATTTAATAAATTGTGAAGCCGAGTTGTTTGCGTTTGGGATTTTTATATCGGATGTCTCAAGTTGGCAAAGAGTTTACCTTCTGGGTTGAGCTCTATCACACCGGACTAGTGTGGGTTACCTCTACAATTGGATTAAAATGTTCAGTGAGGAAGAGCTTTTTGGCCCATAATGGTGAACTTTTAGTGGGGAAGAATCTCTTTTAGTTATATTTCCCACTACAAAAGCATAAATAATTTAGGGGAATCTATGAGAAGACATATGTTCTCTTCTTTTTTTTAAAAAAAAAAACCTTGTTCTGTTTTTATTTTTTAGAATAGTCTTCAAAAGCACAAAACGTTTTATGTATTTTTGCATAATATTTGACAAGCTCCACAAAAATGTGTATATATATCCATTTAATCTTTTTACAAATTTTAATAATTTATAAGAACATTTTTATGTACCATCCATTTCAAGTGATTATCTAAAAAAAAATCTCTTAGATTTCATATTGGTCTAAATTACTTCAAAACAATTGTGGATTATTGCACATGAAATCAAACACGAGATAGATTCTTAATACGACAAATATACTGTTTCATCGAATATGTACTTTCAGAATATTAAATTCATGTATCAAATAAGTTCAAATTATTTCATGTAAAATCACTCTCCTGGAATTTCAATTTCATATTGGATTTACTTTTTTTTATTATTATAAATGTTGAATATTTGCTTCTCAGATTGGGCCTATCTATTATATTATTATTTGGTCTCAAATGCTTTGGCCCCAAGAAATATTTATTGAATTTTTTTCTTTAATTTATCGATATTCAATAGGGACATTTTACTTGAAAGTTGAAACTTTAAACTCAAATAATAACAAACACTCCGATAAATTTATGATTTGTTAAATGTGGAATATATTGTTGTTTTTCAAGTATGAAAAAATGGGTTGAACTTGGTGTTTATTTAGTAAGATAAATTTACAATTTGTTGAAGTATTATAAATTATAATCATGTTGTTACACCAAGAATATATATGTAAAATCCCTAAGATATTTTTGTCAAGTAACATATTAAAAAGAATTGATTAGTAAACTAGTCACAATTTCTAATTTAATTAGTACAAATATCTACACTTTAAAATATTTATTTAAAATGTTAATATTTTAAGAATAACTTGTATTCAAATACTATTATTTGTCTTTCCTTTTATTTATTTCTCAAAACAGTCTTACATTAAATACATTCATTATCCATTTAGACTTCTTCCTAAACTTTAATGGGCAACTTTCACGTATAACAAATAAAAAATTCATATTTGTATGCTAAAACAAAGTTTGCATAATTGTGCTTCATAGCAAACATAGAAACTGTTGTATAATTCGCTATACATACACAGTTGGAGCAAATTGTATAAAACGAAGTGTATAAAACAAGAAAGAGAAAGACACTTGGGTAGAAAACTGTATAAAACGAATTGTATTATTATAAGTGTATAAAACGAGTATATACAATTTGAATTTGTATAAAATGAGAAAGAGAGAAAGACAAAAGAGACTTGACAAGGAATATACAATTGAATCAAATTGTATAAAACGAGAAAGAGATAAATTAGATACAATTTGAAAATTGTATAAAACGAGGAAGAGAGAAAGACAAAAAAACTGAGCAGGGGAGTATTTTTATTATATAATTATAAGTGTATAGGACGAAAATATACGTACTTGCATGTGTATATACAATTTTCTCACGCTTTATACAAACAGAAACGCCATTTATACATTTTGCTTCTGTTTGTATAATTGAGAAAGGCGAGGGTGGCGAGCGAGATCTGGAAGAGGGGAGAGAAGGGAACAAAGATATATGTATTTATACAATTTTCTCTGCTTTATATAATTAGAAATAATTTTTATACACTTGTATTTGTATAAAAAGTGAGGAAGCGAGCGAGAAATTGGAGGAGAGTGGCGAGCGAGATATTTGTGAGAGAGACGCCTGACAATTTTTCGCAAACGTTTGCTATGGAGCATAGTTAAATCAAACCCTAGCTACTCCATTTATTTTAGGTTATTAGTTTGCTTTTATATACAATTTTCTCAACTTTAATACCGTTAAATTTATTCTCATCTTTAAGGTTTTCAATTTTTTTTTCTTATTCAAGTTCATACCAATTTGCTCAGATCTATCGATTAAAAATTGATGATGTGGCCGAATTATAATTGATCACATGTCAAAAATGATTTTACAAAATCACCGTTAAAAAAATAATGGCATGAATGAACTTTTTCTTTTACAATAATGGCATAAATGATCTAAATTTTTAACTGGTGACATATATGAGCCTTTTGTGAAAGTTTGATACTTTGAGCTTCTCCCTCTGAATAATGCAAATCTTAAAAATCAAATAAATAAAAAATATATAAATCAAATACGTAACAAATTAAAAATAAAGAATATATAACAAATTAAAATATTGAAATTCTATTAGTTTTATAATTGTCAATTAATTAAGTTGATTTGATCCTAATTAAGGTTAAGTTTTATATTTTGTAGTTCTCCTTCAAAACAATCCCAACTAGGAATTGTAAAACACAACTCTAAAATCGATCCTTTTAGTGTATAAGTTCCCCTGTTTTCTCTATATGAATTCTGCAGTTTTTTTCAATTTTTTCTGTATTCAGTTTGATTTTTTTTTTTAGGTGAAAGAGAGATATGTCGAATCAGAGATTGAGCCGTATCGCCATCCTTAACAGCGACAAGTGCAAACCGAAGAAGTGCGGGCTACAATGTAAAAAGTGCTGCCCAGTTGTTAAAACTGGTAAACATATTTGATTTTTATGTGTTATTGCTTAATTTATTGATGATGTGTTTGGTTATTTTTGTGCTAAAAATTTTGTTATGAATTTGTAAGTTAAAGTTGCAATCATGTATGAGTATTGGTTTTTTCGTGGGTAAATCAATGAGGGAGTTTTTTTTTTTTTTAATGTAAGTTTATATATTTTTGCTGTGTAGTCTTTCGAAGTGATTGTGGAGTTTATTGTTGATATGAGTTATTGGGTTTTTAAAAAAGGTTTTGTCTTGGAAGTTGATGACACTTTAAGTTGTAGTTTTGATTGTTTAAATATAAAATACTTTTGATTTTTGTTTTATGTTTTATAATGAATTTAGCCTAGTGGTGCTGACCGTTCTGTAGTTGGGATTTGACATTTATTCTTGATTTTCAATTATATTTATAAATAAATGAATACAAAGTAGATACCTTTTGGGGTGGCCTAGTGGTTAAACTTGAGACTTTCACGTTGAAAGTCTAAAGTTCGAAACTCTTTACTAGGGGTTTGTTTTCTGTGTCGATCTCATCGTACTGGAGTTGTTTAGTGCGTGTTACCTCTCCGGTGTGGTTTGCGAGCTATTGCAGAGTTGGTGGCAGCTGTGGGTTTCCTTGTCATAAAAAAAAATGAATAGAAAGTAGATGTCCTACTATGTAGTTTTCTGTGGATAGGCATGCACTATAACTGTTCCTGAATACATGCACCAAACAAGAAAAAAAGGAAAAACGAAACAAGGGTTGAAAACCTTCCTCTGTCACTTAGAGGTTGTGTTTGGGAAAGTAGATATTGGGACAACGGGTCGATTTTGGAATATGTACAGCTGAGTGTAGTATTACTTTTGTATAGCAGAGAAATATGGTTGCTCATTTGTATTATATGCAGTGTTTACATATATGCTCTTCAGTCAATTAAGCTTTGTTTTGCAGGTAAGTTATGTATAGAGGTCACTGCAACCTCGAAGATTGCTTTCATCTCGGAAGAGTTGTGTATTGGATGTGGTATTTGTGTGAAGGTTTGTGTATATTACAATGTGGGGATACATTTTGCTGCAGATAGGTCATTGTGCTGGGTAACTAATATTGTACTTGATGATACAGAAATGTCCGTTTGAAGCAATTATGATCATCAATCTGCCAAAGGATTTAGACAAGGATACAACCCATCGTTATGGTGCCAACACTTTTAAATTGCACAGGTCTGTTTAAGCTACACCTCTTCTGGAGAAGTCTTTCGGTAATCAAATATTTGTTTTTAAAGTTAATTCTTGAAAAAATTGTTGCAGGTTACCTGTCCCTAGGCCAGGACAGGTTCTTGGTCTGGTTGGCACAAACGGTATTGGGAAGTCAACTGCCCTAAAAGTTTTGGCTGGAAAATTGAAACCAAACCTGGGACGCTTCAGTGTACTACTCTTCTGCATCCTGCATGACTAGTCAATTCATGGCCATACAGTTTGCTTATGCGTTCTTTAATTCTTCTGTGGCAGAACCCTCCTGATTGGCAAGAGATCTTGACTCACTTCCGAGGATCCGAACTGCAGAACTATTTCACTCGCATTCTGGAAGATAACTTAAAGGTCACTTCTGATTCAATGTTTCAGATATCCTAAATGCTCCTTTTTTTTTGTTGGTTTCATTGTGAGTATCACTCACCTTTGGATTTAGTTGTCTGACCAGGAGAGCGTTGTAACTCTCCAGAATAGGTTGTCTTCTGCTGTACCATTGAGATAGGTCAAATCATTACTAGTTATCCACCTAACTCTGGTCCTGACCTAGTTCTGTTATGTATTTCATTGTTCCAATAGTAGTGCGGCGGTGTCCGTAACTTGTATAAAAATTCTGGCATATTCTTTTTTACTACTAGGGAGATCCAAGACCACCTGCTACATCCGAATAAAATATTCAGTAGGCCATTTCTGTTTCAAGTAATAAAGGATGCTGAGCTAATGTAAGAAAATGATGAATGCGTGATTCAAAAAATTGCTGAACAACTTAAATTTTAAAATTCATCACACCATTGTACATCAAGATGTCTTTTTTCTTTAGCTTGTTATTTGTTGCGCCAATCACCCATGTAGTATTTTATTCATTTGTAGTTTGAAGTTTTTTCAAACAGGCAATTATTAAGCCTCAGTATGTCGACCATATTCCAAGGGCAGTTCAGGGAAATGTCGGACAAGTGCTTGACCAAAAAGATGAGAGAGACATAAAGGAAAAACTCTGTGTTGATCTAGAGCTGAATCAGGTTTTGGATCGTAATGTAGGTGATCTATCTGGTGGAGAGCTTCAGAGGTTTGCTATTGCTGTTGTTGCAATACAAAATGCAGAGATATACATGTTTGATGAGCCCTCGAGTTATCTTGATGTGAGGCAGAGGCTTAAAGCTGCCCATGTAGTCAGATCCTTGCTTCGACCAGATAGGTTCTAATTCATTCTCGTATGACTTTTTAACAATCAAGATTTCTAATTATTAGTCACATACTGAAATATTCTCTATGTTTCAGCTATGTCATCGTTGTGGAGCATGATCTTAGTGTGCTTGATTATTTGTCGGATTTCATTTGCTGCTTATATGGGAAGCCTGGTGCATATGGGGTTGTGACCCTACCCTTCTCGGTCAGGGAAGGAATTAATATATTTTTGGCTGGATTTGTTCCTACAGAAAATCTACGTTTCCGTGATGAATCTCTTACTTTTAAGGTAAAACTCAGATTCTTGTGTAATCCCACACGTCATGGCAAAACTATAATCTGAACGTTAATATTTTTCCATAGGTTGCTGAGATCCCACAAGAGGTCGCTGAGGAAATTGAATCATATGCACGTTACAGATATCCAACCATGACTAAGACTCAGGGTAATTTCAAGCTTAAGGTTGCCGAGGGTGAATTTACTGATTCACAGATTATTGTGATGCTTGGTGAGAATGGGACTGGGAAGACAACCTTCATTCGCATGCTGGTATGCTTTGCCTTACAATTATGTCATGTCTGAGATGACTGTTGTTTCCAGTCTTCTGTGTTATAAAGACTCCCTCTTGTGTTTGTGTATACTGCAGGCTGGGCTATTGAAGCCTGATGTGGTGGAAGGTTCTAATCTTGAGATACCAGAGTTTAATGTTTCATATAAGCCCCAGAAAATTAGTCCAAAATTTCAATCCACCGTGAGGCATTTGCTACATCAGAAAATACGCGATTCTTATATGCACCCCCAGTTCTGTTCAGATGTGATGAAGCCTCTCCAAATTGAGCAATTGATGGACCAGGAAGTTGTGAATCTTTCTGGTGGTGAGTTGCAAAGAGTTGCCTTAACCCTGTGCCTTGGAAAGGTAATTTTTCTTCCACTTTGTAGAACTGCAGTTTTGGTTGTTTTATACATTGATCTGGTATATGTCTTGGTCCAATCAAACAAACTCTGCATACCCTTTTCCTTTTTGTCTCTCAATGACAGATACTTCATTTCTTTCTTTCTATCCTTCTCTTAATTTTACTGCATTGTATCCTATTTTGGCTGAATGGCCTTGCAAGTTTTGGCTAGAAAACCCTAATTTAGAATATGTATTAGAGATGAAACTGTAACAGCTTTGTTGATGTTCTTTTCTGTATTTTGCAGTACCTTCTTGGTACTCTATATTAATGAAATTTCCTCTTAACTTAGAGGGAAGATATGTTCTGTTGCAATATGAAGGCATTTGATCCAACAATGCAACAAGTCCTCTCCATCTGTATGTTGATGTTGTAGCATTTTTTTTAGGTTTGTTGTTTTTATTTTCTTCCCTTGTCTGGGGTGTCAAATTGAGGGTTTTGCAAGTTTAATCGACAAAACAAGCAAGAAATTTCCCCTTGCTTCTTGGATTGCATTTGGGTAGTTAATATCCGTATTGCATCTTGCTGCTCTTCTGCCTCCATTTTGTTTATTATAAGTCCAATCATGTGCTGCTATTATTATTATTGAAAATATATGTTTCTTACTGCACAAAAATAAACATGAGAGGGTACTCTTAGGGTCGTTTGGTAGTGTATAAGAACTGTGCTGAATAGGATGTTTTAGTAATGCTGACATTAGTAGTAATGCTAATGCTAAGTTTATTTCTTATGCAGTGTTTGGTTTAGTATATTAAAAATAATATGTATTGCATGTTTCTCAAAAAAGAATTTGTTTACAAAAATAAACTTCCCGAATACAAAGGTAATGATGTGGAAAAGGTTTTGAGGAGCAATTGTGTCTTTACCCATGCTAATGCATGCATTAAAATCTTGCATTAGTACTACCATGGTTTCCCATGTATTAGTTATGCATAGCGTAATACCAAATAGAGTGTATACATTAGTTATATCTAGGTTGAAAAGAAGTGTCAAACAAGGTATTAGTAATACATGGAGCTAATGGATCCTACCAAACGACCCCTTAGTAGTGAAGTGTAGATGAAGAACAAAGTTTGTCTGCTGGGGCTGAATATGAAGACTATTGCACTCATTTCTCATACTCTAGTCATGTATTTATAAATTGTAACCTAACTTGTTTACTTAACTCCGCAGCCTGCTGATATATATCTGATTGATGAACCAAGTGCCTATCTTGATTCTGAGCAACGTATTGTAGCTTCCAAAGTCATCAAGAGATTCATTCTTCACACGAAGAAGACTGCATTTGTTGTAGAGCATGACTTTATAATGGCAGCTTACCTGGCAGATAGAGTCATTGTATACGAGGGGACGCCTTCTATGGATTGTGTTGCAAATGCACCTCAATCATTGTTGACCGGAATGAACTTATTTTTATCAGTAAGCTTTCTGCATATATCTTGCTTGTTACCTATTTATTAGCCCTGCCTCATTACTTGAAATAGTTCCTTTACTAACATTTTTAGTATTTCAAGATTCATCGACATATTTTATCTCATGTTATAACAATTGCTAGCTTTATATTCTTCTCTGATTTGTTTTCTTTTTCTTGCTATCCAAATTGTGCAGCATCTGAACATCACATTTAGAAGGGACCCGACTAATTTTCGTCCTAGAATTAACAAACTTGAATCAGCCAAGGATAGAGAGCAGAAGTTAGCTGGATCCTATTATTATTTGGATGATTAACCAGACCAAGTTGCATCCATGATCCTTGCTTACCTCTTCCATTAGGTGCTAATCGATGATCATGAGCAGCCTCTGGTTATTTATATCATAGATGTCTAACGTGATTATCGTAGGTTGATTCTCAGTGAACAGATATTCGATATCAGCAGAATACGTTTCTGTTTAATCGTTGGTTTTTATAGTAATTATTACTGGTATCATGTACTCAAAATACCGCAATTTTGTCCTCCAATTTTGACCGTTAAGAGATTACTCTCTCCTCAGATTTTCATTTTGTACATGAATTTTTGGCAAATAATTGAGGCATTTATTTTGATTAATTTGCATGAGGTGGTTGGTTATGTTGTGGCATATACTGAATTATCATACCAAATCAAAATCTTTGATATCCTGATTTGGTATTAAGGTATTTAGTATTGGTACATGGTATACATTTAAATTCTTTTTGATATATTTATAGATGACTCGAATACCATACCGAAGTCTATATTTAGTTACATAGATAACATATTTATTCTAAATTAGCTAAATCGCACAAGAGATTGAAAAAGCAGAATAAAACATTATATGTATGAAGTAAGATGTTCATGACAAGGCATCTGTTTTTAAACAAAAATAGTTGTGGTTGAATTCGAAGAAGATGATCCTAGGCTTTACTTTTGACCTAAAACAAAATAATAAGTTGTCTTCTCTTTGTCACTTAAACGTGTATATATATATATATATAAATTAAAAGTTGTTTCCAAAACTGTTTAGCGTAGGATTTTACCAAATTTGAACAAAAATATTTAACCTAATTTTAGTAACTACCTAATTAGAAAAGTTTTTAACGTGAGAATTTTAGTACCACCTTCAACTTTTTTCGAAAAAAAATATTTTTGAAAAATATTTCAATTTTTTATAAAAGCCACGTTGCCCCCACCCCCCACCACCACATAGGCCACCCCCGTCAAATATATTTTTTTTAAAAAAATATATCCAGGGCGAAAGTGTCGGTCAGATCTCAGGTTCAAATTTCAGAATAGTCATCGAAGTCTTGTCCTAGCTCAGGCATCACGGTGATCAATTATCGGGTTGATTTTCAAATCAAAAATCATTTCCTAAAGAGTATTTTCTAGTTTCTACCCAAAAATAAAAGATATTTTTTGGAAAAGATTTTACAATTACCAAAAAAACATTTAATGAATATTTTCTACTGAACAATTAAACATAACAAAATATAAATATTACTCCTTAAAGATTAAGATTGTTTTCAATGTTTGAAAGAATAAAACTTGTGTTTGTCTAAAAATTTATAAATATAAAATTAAATATTAAATTAATAGTTATATATCAATAAAGTTAAAAAATTATACGAAATTGTAGTGATAGTAACGGTGGTGGTTGGATGTTAATTGGAGATGGTATTTACTAATGATAGTAGATGGTGATAGTCAGATAGTGGCTAATAGTTATTTCGGTTAATAGTAATAGTTAATGGAGACGATAAATGATGATATTGATTACCTAATGGGTGGTATATAATAATAAATAGTGATTGTCAATAATAATTAATGATTATTACGATCAAGATGGTTGATGATAATGATAATGATGTTTACTAATGATTGTACGTAGTTATTACAACAGGGGAGCTACTAATGGTGGGCAATGACACCGTTAGTGTCTTAGTGATGAACAAATAAGATTGATGAACTCAAATCTTTAATTAAATATTTTAATACAGCACCAAGTAAATTATTAATATTTTTTTCATGCTTTATGGGTAGAAGAATATTTAGAGTTTTGATTTAACAAGTTCAATCTTTTTATTCTTACCATCAAACTCATGACACATTAAACATAAGGTACTTATAATTTATATTTATTGAAAAAATCTATAATCTTTTACGTGAATATCTAATTCACGTAATAAAATTACGAGTTCATTTGAATCAGTAACATGTTAATAACAACCATCTATGTTTTTATCATTGTATGTACTAACATTAATCATCAATTTATTTATATTTTATATTTATCAATATTTAACAAAAATAAATTATATCTATTAATATATTAATAAAATAAGCAATTATTCATATCAAATTCAAATAAAAAAGAAGAGGAGTAGTAGGGCTCAAGAGTCGAGACTCGTGTTTTGACAGAGTTAATATTGTCATTTATCGAATAACATATACGCGGACTTTTGAACTTGCACGCTTTTTTCGTTAGACATCTTAATGAGGTCATATTCCTATTGAACATCTTATGTATATACAAATTGTGTCTATTAGACGCTTCAATGACATTACCCAAAAATGTATAGAGTGCGTGACTTTCAAACACTATAAAAAAAGAGCCAATCATACCGTGACATGTGGTAAATTAAAAAAAAAGTATCTTTTACAAAAAAAAAAAATTCAAACCCAAATCTTCTTCTTTGAAGCTCCTCCTCACTGCCAACTTAAATTCCACCACTAATAATTTTATGAACTCTCTATTCGTTCTTTTATTTTTATTATAAAAATAATTCATAATTTATCCTCCCCTTTCCTCCCAAACAATATTTTCTAACTTGCATAGTTCAATTCTTCTTCTTCCTCTCTTTTTTATCATTAACAAATATGATTAAAACTTGAAATTACCAAAAAATAAAAAAGATACAACTCCGTATTTAGTTATTTTTAGCAACTTTATTTATGGGTTTTGTTTAATCATGAAGATGAATGAAATTTTTTATTTTATTTATTTTCAGCAACAATGGTGAGATGTGGAGAAGAAAGAGATGAGAAATAAAAAATAAAGGGGAAAATCTAGGGTTTGAATAAATAGAAGGGAAGATTTGGACCGTTAAGTGTGTCAATAAGACACATCAATTTTTTTTTCTCACTTCACGCGCTCTTAAGTGACAAGTCAGCCAAGTGTGTTTGATAGGTACACTTTTAGAGTGGCTTAAGTGTTCAGTAGAAAGGAGTTCTTGTTAAAATGTCTATACGAAAAATCTTGACAAGTTCAAGGGGCCGCTTATGTATTTTGCCTAGATTTTATCTCTATCTTAATAAAACATAATCCGAGTAAATAAATTCTTCTATAAATTTGATGTGCATTGTATGTATGTATATGATTGTTATTTTAATATTGCATTACATTAAGTTTTATTTATCTTTTTTTATATATATAAAATTTATTTATAAAACTCTGTGTTATTTTAATTTGTGTAAATAGATGTCAGAGTTTTGATTATTGTTTATCAAACTATAAATTTATATTTTGCTCATTTATTTTATCCTAGAACGTCACTAGGGGAGTATACATAAATACCAATTAGTATTTCTCAATATTTTTTGTCTAAAAAATATATTTATTTTGTACAAACAATTATTTATTTGAATTTAAAATTTAAAAAATATCATATTTTAAAAAATATAAAATGAAAAAGATTTGATAATATAAGAATTAAATAAGTTTTAGACAACATGAATTAGTTTTTTTTTTTTTGGGGTGGGGGGTGGGGGTGGGGGTGGGATTTCAGAATTCAAACAGATATAAATATTTTTCACCCAATAAATAATAAAGGACATTTTTATTTTATTTTTTAGTATAATTTTCTTGCCACATTAAATTATGTCACTTACCTATCATTTATAAAAGGAAATAGTCAACACTGACTATTTTATAAAATTGGTATTTTACATTTAAGAACTTACATAGATTATTTTTTTTGGACTGTTTTCACTTCTCTATAAATACACAATTGTTGTAAAGATGATTTACACAGACATAAATTATTACATAATTATCAAACTAATATCCAAAAAAAGATGAATATGCTTACCTTCAAAGTTATCTTGATATTCAACTTCTTGTTCATTTCGCAGTGTAAGTTCAATATCGTATATCTGTTATTTACTTTTTATTGCGTTTGATTTTACATAAAAAATTTTATGATCGATTAAATATTTTAAGCATATAAACAGATATTCACAAATTTTTTTATATTGTTAATTGATATGACTTATAATTTTTTTTTATATTTTTTAATAGGTTATGCAGCTATACCATGCCAGACAGTAGCTGATTGCAATATTAATTGTGGCAGCAAAGGAACTCCAATTTGTAAAAACAACACTTGCTTCTGCAACCGTTGTGATTTATACCCTCCAGATGATCTTATAGTTGATGATGAATCTAGTTTTATAAGTAAAAATAATTGATTATTATTATTTATTCCGATTACATATGATAACATCGGTGATGATCCTTGAAAAAATAATATAATTATATTGGAAAAAAGGATTTCATTTTGCTGTTTTAGTATGAATTTCTTTATGCAATCAAAGATCGTTCTTCTATGGTCTCGAAATTTAGTTTAAAAAAAAGGGTAAATTTCACAATGACCACGTAACTATAAGTAGTAATAACTATTACTCTGTAAAAAAATTTATTTCTTACTATACAACAATATGTAACAATTTTATATTAATAAAAACCTCTTAAGTTAAAAATTAATTTATCAAATTACTCATTAAAAGAGGAGTGACGATTTGCCCTTTTACAGAACACTACTTCAAAATATTTTTTAATTAATTTATTAATCGTTATTACTTCTATCTTTTGTGTATTTTTATTGTAAGTCAAATCATCTATGCATGAACTGATTTATATATATTTATTCCTTACTAGATACTTACATTTAATCATAGTGAATTATAATTTAAAAAAAATATGAGATTGTAAGATAATAGCTCGATGAGATGATATTTTAAAATCTCTAATTAAAAAAGATAACAACATATCTTTATTACTTTTATACGAAGGAATACAATTCTATATTTTACAGAAAAATATTTTTATACGAAGGAATATAATTCTATATTTTACAGAATTATCTGTTCTTTTGCATCACTTTCTAGTCGCATTTTTTTCATGAGATGTTGTAAAAACAAAAGAAAAAACTTGATCCTACCATTAAAAGCTATGGTGAATGGTTAAATTTCTTTCGATCCTTAACTAGATATCTCGATAAAAAAGTTTTTTTTTTTGTAGAACACCCTCTTATTAATCTGAATATAGAGATTAGGTTAGTGAATGGTCAGATTCAAAAAAGAAATTACAAAGTATTAAGTGGTAAGAAACTCAGATTAGGTTATACTGTTGATTTGGTTTAATTCAAATGTTGTTTTGATACTTTTCTGGTGTAATTTGAATCTATTATGCTGCTATGTTGGTGCAACCATATTGCTTAGGTGCAATTCTAATGTTATTTTGGTGAACTTTTAGAGCTATTTTGACGCATTATCGGTACTCTATTGCGATTTTGGTAAAGGTTTACTAAAATTCTAGCGTTGTTCGTTCTAGTACAAATTTGACGTAGTTTTTGTTGGGAATAAATCCGTAACAGAAATAATATTTGCGGTAATATAGGCAATAAATGCGGAACGCAACAATACGTTTAATCGACGAGCATAAAAGAGAAATAATGACACCAAGATTTTACGTGGAAACCCCTCCTAAATAAGGGAAAAACCACAACCCGAGAGGAGCAATGAATAAGGATTTTACACTTGTATGTCTGAGTTAAATTCCAAAGACCACTACACATTCAAAAGAAATAACACTCTTTTGATTTTTCCACCCCACTACAATATCGCTCACACTCTCTATTTTTTCTCACAGATTATTTTCCTCTGTGATACCTCACTCTTCTTTCTCTCCTTTGTAATTCTTTTTGGTGCACTTTAGAATGAAGAATTGTCCTCCCTTTTATAGAGAACAAATACACTACCCTCCAAATGTGCTACAGAAGAAAAACAATTTTTTCTTCTTCATAGCTTGCCTACTCTGTCAAACTTTGAAATTGACAGAAGACAGTTTTTTCTTCTTCATTGCTTACCAACTCTACCAAACTTTGAAATTGACACAAAGTTATTCAAAGTTTGATCTTCTACTCAAATTGGGTCAATCTATTAGTGCTCCATATTAAAACGACAAGGATTACTTTGATTCTTAATTCAAACATAAAGGATAATTTTGATCCTTTACTCAAATTGGGTCAATCTATTTAATTGAATTTGTATCAATTATTAGATAAAAAGAAGAATATATAT